TCGGAAGAATCAATAGATTCTGATGTAGCAAGGGTAGACAATTTGTCTTATTTATTTAATCGAGTTTTTACTTACTATTTCATTAATTTGTGTTGTTACTTTTTATTAGACTCAACCTGTAACAGCTCGAACTTTAGAAACATTAATTCGACTGTCTACTGCACATGCAAAGGCACGTTTATCAAAAAACGTTACCGGAGTAGATGCGCATGCAGCGATAGAATTAGTAGAGTTTGCTTACTTCAAACGAGTGTTGGAAAAAGAAAAAAAGAAACGAAAGCGGCTCGATGGCGAAGAAAGCGCAACTGAGGAAGATCAGAATGAAACGACTAAGAAACGTAAAAAGAAAATACATAAAACTCCAGGAGAACAAGATCCATATGATTTTGAAAGCGACGATGACAGTCACATAGATGAAGCTGCGAAAAGAGTCACTAGATCGCAAACGAAAATAGCTGGTTCAACTTCACGATCCGATCAACTATCAGTATCAGATTCTGATCAAACTGTATTACCAGAAACTCCCGCTATTATCACTGAAGAAAGGTGTATATTTGAATTGTTATTAAACTATTATTAGCATGAAAGGCATTTAAATTTTGTGTATTGTGCAATTTCAGATTGAAGATTTTTAGAACACTTTTATATAAGTTGTTTCAACAAGAAAGGGTACAATCACTTTCTTTATCAAGAGCACGTGAATATATCAATAGTCAACAAAGTCAAGAATTTACATCGAGTGAAATTACCGCAGCAATTAACAAAATGTCCGATGCAAATCAAATTATGGCTGCAGATGATAATATTTTCCTCATGTAAATTGTATTCTATAAGTTATTCCATATTTTTTACATTAAAAATAAGGATAGATTTGCTATAAAATCTAATTATGTAAGTATTTTAGCAGATATTCATATTTAAATAAAGTATACTTTCACAGTTTTTAAAATTGATGTTATAAGTATTTGCTGCATTTTGTATTAATTGATAGTTTATAAGAATTTTTGGTCTATTCCTTGCTTTCTTCTCTAAAATAAAATAGTTCAATATGATTGGAAATAATTATATTTTTCAACATTTATTATCTTTTCATATTACAGTACAGCACATTGGCATGTAAACTAGCAACAGTGATCAACATTTATTACAATACCGTAAACAATATTGTTCATATCTCTAAGTCTTTGTTTTGTATATATATAAAATCAACTCATATCACATAGATATAAATAGTTGTGCTGTCTCAAATATATATATTGTTTAGGCATTTTTTACACATTACTTGTTTTATCAGCATGTTCGTACCATTAAAAAAATCCTGAACCTTATAACGTCATAAATTTTCATTGTTTACTAGTCGTCACATATTTTCGTGATTAATTTAAACATATGGTATTTTTATAATTACCCGATCAAGTTATAAAAAAATCTTACTATCTAATATTCAACTTTATACAATCATATTGTTTGAAAACAAACTATATCCATTTATATTTGTATGTTTAATGCCATTCAATTTGAACATACTTCGATGATAATGTTGTAATTTAATATGCTGCTTTTGTTATATGTATAATTTGTATCATTATATTGAATGTATCAAATTGTTCAAATTTTACTATATATCTATAATCATAACAAAAGAATGCTACAACATTTATAATTATCTACTTATTGTTATAATACAGGCCTTCAGGACGTTAATGTTTCTATTGAAAATTAACAAATTTCGCATACAATTGCCTCACTCACATTCGACATATTAAACTTTTAACAACTAAATCGGTTTTGTCATAAAAAAACCTGATCATTTAAGTTCATTGTACTTATATTTGCTCTCGATAACATTAATTTTATTATTCTTAATTAGCACTTCCGTGGTGTAACTTTTTTCACTGTATAAAACCTATCGTATCTAATTCTAAGGTTCTGTACAAATTTCACATTTCAACACCAATAACTGCCACAAAATATATATAACACAATCAACAAATTATCTTTAAGATATCTAAAAACACGCTGTTATAATCTACAACATATTAATCTATGTGGAACCTGAGTATTTGCAGTAGTAAACTGATACATGAGGGAAAAAATTAATTTTTATCTAAAAAAAAAAATAACGATATTGAATAATGCTATAAAAAAATGTAGAAAATATATATTGAATAATACAATTCCCTCGTGCAGTAATAAAATAACATTCCTTTCATTTTGATACAGCATTTCAAAACTGCCTACAAAACAACATTTAAAAAATGGATATGAATCATCTTTCTACATATATTTCTAAATATTTCATTTTATAAATAACAGTAAATAATTTTACTTTAAAGTTGTTAATAAAAATTAAAGGAATTATACAACTTCTGTGTTGCAAAATGTTTTTTCAATGTCTTACCTTTAACGCTGATAGTTGAGGCACATACTTATACCTTTCTTGTAATTTAACTGTTGTTCCAATAAACTTGCTTCAGTAATTTTTAATTTATACAAACAGATAAGAACGAAGCACATGCAAACAACAGTGAAGTACAAATTATATTTTAACGATTTTTTTTTTAATGTAATGCAAATGTTACTGGTAAAAAGCATGTGCTCCATTTTTATACTGTGCTATATTATACTTTTTATTTATAACCGTTTCAAGACTCGAATTTATTTAAATCTCGTCTTCGCTGGACTCACTGCTGTACGCCAATTGTTCCTTCCACCATTCTCGAACCTCTAGCATAACGCTGGAAGATTTTGGTACAATTGCCTTCGCATTACTAGCTTCCCGTTGTTGTCTGCTTTGCTCAGTGCTCTCTGTGAGATGTGGCAAATTATTTTTCGGCGCCGCTTCAAATGGAAAGCTTACGTTGAATTAAAGTACAATGAAAAAGGTATAGATATACAATGTAAAAATATACGTACGTGGTGGTCTATTATTTTTCTTCTTAGGTGCCGCGTTCTTATCTTTTTCAGACCTAATCGAAGCAGGATCCGACAACGTCGGAGTTAAATACTTTCTTCCTGATCCACTACCTATACTGTCGGACCTTGGAAGAACTACAGGCTTCTTTGCTTTGTGTCTAGTTCCATCAGTATCCTGTGTGTAAATAGTAAGTAATTGTGTATATCTTTCACCAACGAGTAATTAATCTTACACAAAATTTACCTTCGTTTCCGTTTCTTCTTCTTTGACAGCCTCCTTTCCTTTCTCTTCTGTATGTTCCTGTTGCTGTACCTGTTCAGTGTTAGCGCGAAGACCTGCTACAAGACTGTTTTGTTGTTTCTGCAATATACAAATTAGGAATTAAATTTTATTTGTTTCAAGTACTGCTTTTCTACAAAACTCACCCCACTAGCACGTATTCTTCTCAAACAACCTTCCAGCCAGTTTCTAATTGTTTGCTTAGCAACTTCTTCTTCGATAATATATTCGAATTCCTCTCTTGCCAATAACTCCTCAAGTTGAAGAGCTTTTCGAATATCGACCGATCGATAGGATAACATGCTGAAGAAACACGTTTTGTGAAATAAATGTCTTAAAAAAATGATAACTATTGTTAAGAAAACATACTTGATGACATCGTGAAAAGTAACATCTTCACCATTATTCAACTTCTCTAGTTCATAGCACATATGTTTGAGAAGAAGTCGATGCTTCTGTGGATCAGGCTCCAATCTACCTTTTAATAATCGTACAATGAACTTCACCTAAAACAAACTAATATATCATTACTTCTAGCCAATTTATAACAGTCTATTAAACTTGTAATAATCTCTTTTCTAGGCGTACCCGTTTTACAGGTATAAAACCTTTCTGATGGTTATCAACAACATTCCAAATATTCTGGAAGTTTCTAATATCAGCATATGATAACAAAGCATCTTCTTCGTTTGAGTAAAATAAAGAAAAGTTCTCCATAATGATAGCTGTCATAAAAGATTAATTTGTATAGTATCAATCCAAAAGAATCATTCATTGTGTTTTCTTGAAAGGATAATTGCTACTTACCCACCAGAAGATTTAAGACAATGTAAGTGATAATGACGTAGAAAGTACAAAAATATATTAAGGAAGCATGAAAGTTGCCGCAATCGGTCTCCCAATAATTAGCTGCTGGAGTGCAATATGGTGGTTGTACCATGCAATCGTGCATTATTTTATTCCAGTCTTCTCCTGTGACAATACGGAAGAGCATCGCGACACCAGTAACAGGTGATTCAAAATTGGCACGCCTAAACGATAATCGTCTTTCTTAAGATCGTGTTAGGACAAAAACGCCTGCACCGTTTAATTGTTCTTAATTTTAACATTATTCCTTGACCTTATTGCATAGAAATACGTAATATTACCTTCCTATACCTTCACCGTATTTTACGGTTCCAAAGATGATCGTACCAGCTAGCGCGTAAAAGAAAACAAGAAGGAACATGCCAAATATAATGAAGAAACTTTTACAAACGGATACTCCGACCGTTAACATCAACATTTTGAGGGTTGTATGTTTGCCAGTGATGGTGAAAAATCTAAGAATCACGACCATAAAGCCGACTACGTATGACAAATCGTTCTGCAAGAAAGGTATTCCCGTCATTACGTTGTTTTTAAATTCATATGTTTAACTTATAACGAAACACTGAACGATCACTGGATAATAATAATACCGACCTACCTTCATTGTACAATGAATGACGATCCAAATAACACCGACGACTGTCACGAGCAAATCATATCTGTTTCTTCTGGACTGCCAATAGCCACGTGGTGTAAAAGCAATATTTTTCATGATTACTTCCACGAGGAAGATCAGTGTCAGAATCGTGGACACCGTAGCGAGTGCTTCCGTGTGTTCTTCCTCGATTCTCCACTTAAGGGGGAAAAAATAAAAAAAGACTTGTTAACGCAAAAAAATGTGTCGATTTACTTTTACCACGGTCTAATGGTAGCCGGCAAGGAACAAATGATTCAAAGTAACAGTCATTGAATCCTGTCCTTTCATAAGGAGTATATTTTTGTATACGAAGAGTTTGTTAATTAATTTTATAAGACGATGTTATGGTGTTGTGGTGTTTTGTGTGTTGTCATCGTTATACAAAGAGAATGAAAATTATCCAACTCACAGAGACACACAGAAGAGCACTGTTTATGAGCACCATGACCGCAATGAATCTCTTAAAATAGATATTTTGAGTAATATCATAGATAAATGCTCTGAATTTTTTTCCATCTGGTCTAGGTGGTAAATGCAATGGTTGGGCGATTTTTAGTCGCTTTTTTAAATCACACCTATTTGAATTATAGTAGATCGTTTATAATTTTAAGGTATCATTTGGAAAATTCATTAATCGATTAATTAAAACTTTACCATCGTCTTTGATCAACTGTGAGCAAGGCGGTTCCTTTATTTTCAGAATAATTAGCAATGACGACACCAACGAACAAAGTCAAACCAATCATACAGCCCAAAAAAATATAGATGTGGATATAAATAGCATGGACCTAAAAAATTATTAAATAACATCATTGTATAAATGTTTGAAGGTAATGTTAATAACTTACGGGACCGAGAGCTTTGATAAGAACGTCCCTAACGTCGAGCCACCCTTTAAAAGAGAGTACTTCAAAAAGTGCCATCAGCGCGTCACCAATATTGTCGAAATTAAATCTTCTAGGATTAGCCCTATAAGATTTCAATGTTTACTGGAGTACAGTATAAATCATTTGTATTTTATATTTTTTCTTTAATAAGCCTACCAAACGCGTGGCACTAGTATAGATGGATAGCTCTCATTTTGACCTGGTCGCAATTTCATTTTTGTCACGAAAACTCTTCTCATGAACACTCCAACACAATCTTCTCGTTTCAGAATGGTGGGATCATTGCAACGAGCTAATCTACCCCCATAAAGCTGTACGCCGTAACTCGCGAATATAAACATCAGTAAAATCAACAGAGTGGACACCTAAAAAACTTCTTATTCATTTTTTGTCTGGACTTTGTGTCAAACGATTTCGATACATTCAAATTCTAAATTATTTACCAATAAGATTTCTTTGAATCCTCTACATAATTCGTAAACAACTTTTCTCATGTGTGGTACAAGGGTGAAGATTCTTAACGGTCTAACACAACGTAAAATCATAAGAAGTTGTGCACCGGAATTCGGTGGCACGCTTTTCGGCATCCAACAGAGAAATACAAGACTGACCTAAACGTCCAGTGCATTAGCGTTAAAATTTACCAAATATCGAATGACAAAAATGATTTTTTGTTAACGTACGACATAGATAAAAACGTCCAAAACGGAGGCGACGTCTTTGATATAGGCCTTCGGCGTAAAAAATAGCCCATCTGCCAGAATCTTAAGAGCTAATTCGATACTCATGAAAATCACGAAACCGTACTCTGCAATTTGCAATGCCGGAACCTCCATCACGCGATATCGTGGTGTCTCGAACATCATGGAAATGCACGACATGGTAGTAGCAAAGATCATTACCCAATCAAGGTACGTGACCAACCCAAGAAAATTGCTAAAAAGCGTATGATTATTAATATTCATTTCTTTTTTCTTAATTTCAAGCAATAATGTAAGGCATATCAAAGCAGTCATGTTTGACATGAAAGCACTTACTGCAGGCTTTTATATTGAACTTTCCTCTCTTTTCCAGTTAAAGGATCTTTCACGTTTGTATCATATCTAGCGTAAACAAGTGACTGGCAAATTTTACGGAATTTACTCTCGCGCGGTACTGCAAACAGTGGTGTATCGAAAAATGGGTGATTCTCACGCAAATCTTCTTCGCGTTGATTTCTACATAAGTGCAGTGTGGTAAGCAATTCAATTAGAAATAGAAAGAGGGTAAGTGTTAGAGCCAATGAAAGAAAACTATTGGATCTTACCTGCGCATTTCAGCCTGCTGTCGTTTAGCTTGCAGCAATTTAATGTCCAAATCATGCGGTGTACTACAAGAAGAGCTAACTCTGTTAATACCTCCGATATCACCGTTTTCCATTAGGTGTTCATAGGTTTGTTTTAGCTTGATCGATCCGCTACGAACGCTTCTCCTAATTGACCTATTAAAAACAACATTTACAAAAATACTATTATTTATAAATATAATATTTTATCATCGTTTAAAAATTTTTTAAATACTTTAAATAATACAGTTTATAAAACTTAAAAATTTACTTTTTCTGATCAAAACGAAGTTGCTTGGCACTACTAATAGTGCCTTGTGGCCTCAAAAGACCTTTCCCTGGCACTGGTATCATAGCAGAATCACCTAGTAATAATCTTTGGTTGTTCGAGTCACTAAAAAATAATATACATATATTTAATATATAATTTATAAATAATCTCAAAAGGTATTAAATCTTGTACTCACTTTATAATATAGATAACAGCAGCTTTTTTAAGATTGGTAACAACATTTCTTACTTTCGGTGGATTATTTAAAATTTTCACTGGTCGTTGTTTTCTGTATATCATTTTTGAATCAAAAGTTTCATTTATTTTCTTTACCCCTTCATTCTCTTCATTTTCCATCTCAAATACAAACTGTCTCATGAAACTTTCACGAACCTAAGTTAAAGATGTATATAAAGAATATTTTAAATATTCACTTTGTAGTAAAAATACATGGAAGAAATGAATAATATTTACTTTTGGAAGGTTAAAATCTGATGGCACTTTATGTAAGCACGTCATTTGAGGACTATCAGGAAACTTCTCAAATATTCGTAATCTAAATGGCAGAGTTTCCTTTATTTCTGCACTTTGTTCACGAAATTTTAATTGCTTTAGAGTCTTAATATCCTCATCCAGTTCAAGATTATCCAAAATTACAGCGACAAACAAACTTAATACAATCTTGAGGAATCAGCAAAATATTTTAAATCATAATTGTGGAAAATGTAATTAAGTAAATATATTTATTCTTGTATGCAACTATTTTTACCAGTGTGACAAAAAGATGATATAAAATAAAATACATGGCAACAAGGGGAGCCATTGTTTCATGTGTCCTCAACATTGTTTCATCCATAACGTCTACCCAAGCTTCTTGTGTTAAGATTTGAAACATAGACATAAATGCCTGAAAATATTTTTTATTGATACATGTAATTTAGTTACATATAAATTTAATTTCTTTTACCTCTGGAAATGTCTCAAATTTTGTGAAGTCGCGAAGAAAACAGAAGAGCTGCATAGAAATACTGGATGATATAACTAATAAGCACATAGTAAAAATAATGAGACTGCCTAACTTTTTTCCAGGACCAAATATCTTGTACACAAAATCCTCTAACATCGGTGATGCTTTGATGAGCCTGACTACTCTAAGGACCTAAGTGTAAAATAATTCTGTATCAATTTATCATAGTACAGCTACGTTTTGTTTTCTGATCTAATTATTTAATTGTATCTATTTTTGAAACTATACAAAAGTGAATATAGAAACCTGAAAATATGTGAATCCGGAAAGATAGAAAAATGGAATGATGTGTATGGTTGTACCAATAGCCAGCAGTAGTTCAAATTTGTGAATCGAATGTTTATAATAACTGCGAAATCCAAGACACCAAATTTTAAATAACGTTTCGAGATCCAAAAATATCGTGAATGCAATCTCGGCGTAATAATAATTGTCATAATAGGTATGTCTTGGTTTCTCATCGTGTTTGAAGCTCATGGTCGCTGTAGTGATACCGTTCGCTAAAATTGCACACATTACCACCATACGAAACTGAGGAGATCTCAGAATAGCGTGACATATGGGAGAAGCCAAGCCACCGTGTTTATTTTCGTCCAAAGTTACCAATTTCCAACCATTATCGTCACCAGTTAATATCTATAAAGTTATTTACATTTATAAATAAAAAATATACATAAATTAATCAGTTAGTTATTTTATGGAATACAAAGTAATTATTAACTTGTGATGCTGTATTGTTGCTAATGTGTCCTCTAGCACCCCACATTTTCTGGAATTGAACTCGTATTTCATTGAAAGTTTCTGTAATAACAGCTATGAAAACGTTCTTCACAAGCCATGCCAAGAAAAATATCATTGTGCTGAAGTAAAGAACTGCACGCCAAGCAGGTAAACTATCTATTGCACGATACATGATAAAAACCCATCCCTCTTGCGAAGCAGCTTGATAAACGGTAAAAATACTTGTAGCTAAAAACGAAATTATTTCTAAAGTATATTACATGTAATGATATAAAAAACCTATATATTCTCTATTGTAAAATTTTTCCTATTTTTTAATTTTTATACTCTGTATTATAAGATCTTTTTTATTACCAAATTCGTCGAATCCATTGAAACCCATAATGTATTTCGACAACTGAAGTTTCATGCAAATCATTCCTTCTGGACATTGATATCCTGATTCAGGATCAGTAGAGCAAAAAGTATCGGGAATGGCTAAACTATTTATAGTTATGTGTTTTGGATCTGTAGTATTAAGAACACAGTGGTTTTTCAATTCACCGAAAAACTGAACTCCTAAAAGACCATAAAGGGACATAAAGAAAAGGAAGAAAAGAGTCACATTATATATTTGCTGACTCGAACGCCTAAAATCACAAATGATATAATAAATATTGAATATATAAATTTTTTTTTTTTTTTTTGCGAAATAATACATAAAATTTGTAACTTACTTAAAAATTTGATTAATCCTAGATTTCGGCATGGAGAACTTAAGGAAGACTCGTAAGAAGCGTATCATGATTAAGGGTCGTGGCGCCCGTAATATCGAAACATAACTAAATTCTAAAACAAAACCTAGCATTTCAAACATTTGTAAAATTACAGATAACCAGAGGAAAACAACCATACTTCCATCGAATTGGCACCAGTGATCTTTTAAGTAAGATTTGTCCCTCTGTAACTGAATAATTGTCAGTTTATGTAAATCGTTATGTAAATTAAATATAATATTATGATAACTACCTTTAATATACCCCTTATGTGCATCTTAGCAATCATCTCAGCAGTAAACAAAAATGTAATAATTAAGTCGCAAACGAAGGTAACATATTGAAGAGGTGGAACTTTTTCAAAAGTTTTTGGAGTATTCAAGCAAACAGAAGCTAAAGATACCAGAGCACAAGACCTCATCAATCTTCTCACCCATAGCTGCAACGATAGAGTAATTATTTAATGAGTAATACATATACAGTAAGATATTGGTTTATAGGAAAAGATTAATTTTTAATGTATTCAGGCATAAATATATTTATAAACTACCTTATTCACCCATTCTATGTCAGCGCTCTCATTGAGGGATTCCTCTGGGCCATAGTCGGCCAAGACGGATTCCCCTTTGAGGCTCTGCTTGCGCCCCAGCATCATAATAGGAATTATGTTCGCAATGGTGAGGCCTATAATTGACGAAGTATTACAATCATTATAATATTACAAAATAAATATAAATATCAAATTATTAATAACAATAAATAGTAATAAAATATTGTTTTATTATTGTAATAAAGACCGATTATTATAAATTATCATGTTATTATAAAGCAACAATAATAAAACTATTAAATAATTACACAATGAAATCTAAAAAAATAATATTGTATGGTAGTAAATACATAAAACAAAAGTTATTATAATTACCATATCCAATAAAAATAATCTGATTAATTCGGCCTACCTTTTTTTTAACAATTTGAACAACGAAAACTGCCTTTACGGCAATTCATATAGACTACATTTCAGTATATCAACAGTAAAGTTTTAACGTGTAATAAACATCTTATTAATAACAACAAGCTGACGGCATGGCGGTGGACATTTTTTGGTTCAGTTCTGAGCTTTCTAACGATAGTGAAAGCTCAAAGTGAGCATGAGCAGTGATGTTATTACGAACAAATCAATATTTCAAATCATGAACGACAGCGCGCAAATCAACAATGTTCTAAATTTACGGACTTTTACTTTGATGAATATTATTAATTATCGGAATATTTAAATAGAAACAACTGTCATAATAATAACATAAAATTTAAAAAGTTAATATTTTTATTTTAAAATTATTCTGTGACATACATTAGTTTATAGTAAGATACAATATTCTCTTACAATTATAATGAAAGATATATTTTTTATTGTTTTTTATAAAATTGTATATTAAGATATGTTTACATATTAAAGAATACTTTTGTTTTCTTAATTTGTTAGTGTTTCCATTTATTAAATATAATACTATTATTAATAGTGATTATGTTCCTTTCATGTTTTTTTCTGTTGAAGTCATCATTTTCGAAAATTCGGAGTTTGAATTCAATAAAAGTACAGACGGTGCGTCGAATTCAATTATTTGACCATTCTTCATAACAGCAATACGATCACATGAAATAACAGTCTTTAAACGATGAGCAATGGTCAATACAGTAGAGCTTGAAAACTCTTTTTGTATTGTATTCTGTACAGCGATTTCAGTTTCTGGATCAACAGCAGCTGTTGCTTCATCTAGCACTAATACCTAAAATTAAATTATAAATTAAATTAAATGAATATTAATTAGAACAAAGAATTTCGCTGGTATCATACTTTGGTATTACGCAAAAGTGCTCTTGATAAACAAAGTAATTGTCGTTCGCCCACACTGAAGTTGTTTCCTCCAAATTCAACAATCGCATCCAGTTGCCCTGACATAATTTGAACTTTCTCTTTCAAATAAGTTTTTTCTAGAACACTCCAGATTTGAGAATCATTAAATTGTTTAAACGGATCTAAATTTGATCTGCAATGATTACAGATATTGATAGATCTCTACTATCCAAATTTATTTTTTTTTTCCATTTATGTTTGAATTTGCTAAATCTATTTACCGTATGGTTCCACTAAATAAAACAGGATCCTGAGGTATTATAGATAATTTACTCCTTAGTAACTCTAACTTCACTTTTGCTATGTCTATACCATCAATTTTAATCTTTCCAGCGGAGATTTCAACTAATCGAAATAGAGCAACGATAAGAGAACTTTTTCCTGCTCCAGTTCTGCCCACAATACCTACAATTTATTGTATGATGTAAAGAATCTTAAAATGATAATTGTACATATATTATCAAATTATTTTTACCTATATGTTCACCAGATTTAATAATGAAAGAAATATTATCTAATACAGATGGCAATTCTTTTCTATACTTCAATTCAACTTCATGAAATTCTAATATGCCATCAGTAGGCCACTGATCTGGAGGACTTATAGGATCTTCCTTGAAAATTCCTTCTTTTTGCAAAGTCTGTTAGACATATGTATATCATTATTACATAACTTAATTATTAATTATTGTTACAATAAATTAATATTCATGTTATTTACCCTCAAGTAATAACTTATTCTTTCGACACTTATAAAACGGGTTTCTGTTTCTGCCATTAATCTTACAGTATACTGAAAAACACCAGTCATTTGCATAGCATATGCCATAGCTAAACCAGCAAGGGCTGGAGATATTTGATTTCTAAGCATTATCACAAGAAACGCAGTAATAGAGGAAGAAGCGATTGCCAAAATATCGAGTCTTACGGCAGACCATCTCATGATAGAATGACATAGGTAAAGACACAAGTTATTTAAATCAAATAATTCTTCGAATCTGAAACATAGTAATTGATAGTTATATTAATCCTCTCATTATTTTATTCATGTACTAATTCTATTTTAGGGAGCATACTTGTTTATAAATGCTTTCTCCTTTTGGAATGCATGAATGATATTCAAACCATGAATGGTCGTTGTAATAAAACTCAAAACAGGAGATCGCGAGGTACTTTCCATTCGCTTGAAGTCTCTCATTGCTACTCTGTAAAATTTTCCCTTTCGCTATATTTAGTATTAATAAATATTATGAATTCATATTTAAGATATTAATCTCACCTAAAGATCTTACTAATATAAAAAAATATAATAGCGAGAACGATTAATGGTAAACAAAACCAAGGTAATACTGCACATATAAATATAATTGCAAAACTGCATGTAATAATATTCTGTATCATATTCTCCACGGAAATTGGTATATAATTATCCACTGCAATAAAAAAACAAAGATATTTAATTAACTATCACAATACTTAATATTTGATAACAGTTCCAAAAGTATTTAAATACATCTTACCTTCATCAATATCTCGACTAAAAATATTTTGTATTCTTCCAATAGGAGTAATTTCAAAGAATGTTATTGTCGACTTAATAATTCTCTTAAAAACTTTATTATGCAGTGTTGTTGAAGCATTTATCGTAGCATACATAATAACCACGCCACGCAGTAAACTCGTTAACAAAATTACTCCAATACAACCAATATAAATGTTTTGATAGTATGAATAATTTGGATTATCATTTAAATTATTTGATATTAGTGTTTGATTGGTATTAAGGTCAGTCACATTCTTAAACAAGAAAAATTAACGTAAACTAAACCTAAAAAAATTATAATGTAAATGAACTAATATAAGATATTTACCCCACTACCTGCTTTGATCCATACAGCTAACCACCAAGAACTAAATGCTGAACTTCCAACGTTTAACAAAAGCATGAAAAATACTAAAGCAGCTACAAAATAGCCACCCGCGGATTTTACATATATGTTATACGTATATGATTGTACAGTACCCAGTTGCATTTTTTCTTGTGTAGTAAGAATTGTTCCTAAATGACAACTTGAGAGTAATATTTCCAAATTAACAATATAAATCATCTTAACACCATCTTAACACACCTCTTCCGCGCGTTTCCTTTGACGACTCGATATTTCCATTATTATTTGCAGGATTACATACTATTTGTCTTTTCAAATCATTACTAAATTCACTGTTTGTTTCAATTGATACCACTATTTCGCTAATTAATTTGAGCGTGATAATTAAAATTTAGAAAATTGCAATAAAAATAATTTATAAAACACATACTTTTTCGCATCATCCTCCATTTTTAATAATGCACTGTTCACCATTGCAGCATATTCTTTATTTAATTGCATCAATTCATTATGTGTACCTTGTTCTACAATACTGCCTTTGTGCATTACGTATATTTGATTACAGTGTTTCAGAAACTGAAACGGACAAAATATAATACTATTTACAGTTAAATATATATATATATTAAATTGTTTACTTTAATGATGTAGTTTACTTAAGACATACTTGAACTTGATGTGTTACAAACAAAACACATTTGCCCTTGAGTGCACCGAGAATTAAATTTTTAAAAATGTAAGAACCTACATGTGCGTCCACGGCACTCAATGGATCATCCAAAAAATAAATATCTCTTAAAAAAAAGAAAAAAAAAAAAATGTTTTTTATAAAACATAATCACGTAATTTATAAATTTAAAGGTTTTAACAAAAACAAAAATTTTTACCGATTAGCATAAAGTGCTCTAGCAAGAGCAACTCTTTGCTTTTGTCCTCCTGATAAATTTATACCCCTTTCACCAATCTCGGTTTCGTCTCCACCGGGTAACATATTTAAATCTTCTTTTAGACTGCATACCGTCAATGCTTGGTAATACCGTTTTGCATCAAACTGATTTCCAAACAATATATTTTCTTTAAAAGTCGCATTAACAACCCACGCCTGTTGACTAACATAAGCGCAAGAACCTTCTCTCAAAATATGGCCATTTGTCATTTTTAACTGTCCCAAAGCAGCAAGTAACAGACTAGATTTTCCACTTCCTACATGTCCACAAATTCCTATTAATCCATCTTTCGTTGCTCCAAACTTAATGCCAGTGAGTATTTCCACATATTGAGTTTCTTCGGAGGGTTCATTGAGTTTTTCTAGTTCGACTGTATTCTTTAAATACAACGCAGTTTTTCTGAAAAAAGAAAAAGTATAAAAACATTTTTAAGAAATTATAAAAAAATATAGTAATAAATATGCTAACAAAAAACTCACTTTTTCTGTTTAATATTTTTTAAATTTTTATCGTGCAGAATAGAATTTTCATAAACAAATGTACCATTAACAATGACTATGGCTTGTGATTTTACGATTGGTTTGGATATACGGCATGTATGCTCTTCTAAAAGTAATATATTCTGCACAAATATTATAAATTATTAAAAATACATACCAAAATCTAATTACAAAATTAATTCATGACTATTTTAACCAATTGAGTACAAGCACAGCCAAACAATACATTCTAATAACAATTGGGTATCTATATAATAAACATGAAATTTATCATATTATTACATGCAGCAGTTATAAATAGGAAGTTCAATCAAAATTAATTGAAAATTGAAAGACATATAAACATGCATTATCTGAAGGAGTATCAAACAGTAAATGAACTATGTTACAAAGCACTTTACATTTCTGTAACTATAATAAAAGCAATATTAAATTTTGCTTCCAATGTAAATATTATTTGCAAAATAACTAAGTTTTTATTTGTACATCACGATTAATAATTATTATTAACAGAGAAATGCAATAGTAAACACCTGTAATCTGTTGAATATTAAGCGTGACTCAATGATATTAATTAAGGCCACTTGCAGAAACATAAAAGATGAGCGAAATTGAGAATTGAGTAAAGATATAAAAGGAAACACCTGGAAAAGGAACATTAATATTAAAATATTAATTCTATAAAAGTAATATATTTAGTTAAACTATTCCCCAATATTTGCATTTCAACCATATAGATAACCTGGTTTCATTTTAATAATATATATAATATCACAAGGAGGAGTAAGAGAAAAAGCAATTGGTTTGTTCATTTACATGATATGCAGTACTTTCCCTTTACATCTATAAGCTCTTAGCCATTTATCACTAACATGTAAGTATAATATTAGTAAAGAAACAACTCTCGTGTAAATTGTATACATTTTCTTTCATTTGTTTTAATAATTCGAAAAATAAATTGTTTTAATATAAGACACGAGAACTTGCTTGCTAATAATAATTGAAAAAACCCACCCGTTAAACATAAATAACATAATTAAATTGTAATTTAAATGCAAATTTTATGAGACCTTGATTCTTCTAAGAGCAATGCGGGCGTCGATAAAATGTCGTGTGGAATCCTTAAGAGATGAGAGTGCCATTCTCAGCATATTTCCAAAAAATGTTGTAATTGGGAAAGCCTACAATACATATCTCATTAAGTGCAACACTTACTTCACGATCTTAAACATTCCATGTAAAATAAATATTACTATTCAATTTATAAATAATAATTTTTGAATTACTTATTCTAATATTCCTCCAAACCAATCTATATAATGAGTTGCACTAAATTTTTGTCATGAATTTAAAGAATAATGTATACCTGAGCAGCAGTTAAATTATTTCCTGAAGATAAATGAGCTACAAATGTAATAATTGCAGATATCACAGGTATAGCTGGTGTTAAAGAAATGGCAACACTTTGAAAATATACAGTTTTATGTAACCAGTATTTCTCTTTCTTTCGTATATCTAAAAGTTAATTAATATATTATAAGATAACTGAAATCAATAAAACTGATATTAATATTATTATATACATAATTCATTATAAAATAGTAATTATACCAAGAAGCTTATCACTAAAATATTTCTCCCATGAATACATTTTAATTAATTTTATACATTCTAAAATTTCATTCATTAATTTCACTCGTGTGTCTGTAATGACAACTGTCTTAGAACGAAAATATCCAACGATTCGAGACGTAAGGTACTGTAAAAGAAAACAATGTTATGTAACCTGTTATACAATGTTAAAGTAGCCTGAAAAATAATATATGAAAACATAGTGTTTACCTGACAAGGATAAAACACGAGAAAAGTAAATATTCCCCAAAGAGCTAATGGGCTAAATACCCATAGTATATAAACTATTCCACAGATAATAATGATTGGACCACTAAATATCATAGGTCCATAAATGATTACATCAAAAAGTCTTTGACTATCATTAGTGAATAAATTAATCAACTGAAATTGCAAAACAACAATATACACAAAATTATACTCTACACAGTGATATAATAAATACATTTGAAATCTTACTTTTCCAGTACTTATATTGCCAAGACTATTCAGTCTAATAATTTTTTTATATAAAAGAGTTGTACAAGCAGACTTTAATCTTAGGGCTGTTCTAATATTAGTATTCCAAGTCCAATTGAAAAATATTACTCGTAACAAATCACAACAGATTAGTAATAATGCCCATTTTATACCTGTCCATATATCTTCTTCTGGTGACTGAACGTACTCTAGTACATTCTTCATTAGTATCATCTAAAATAGAAATATAGTGTTCTATATAATACTGTAGACAAAATTAATATTCCACCAAAAATTAAAAGACATACAGAACTGATAAATCCACAAAGTGTAGAACAACTTAATAAGAACCCAGCTATACATATTCTTGTTCTTACAAATTTCCAAGCTACACTTGAAAATGAGGCCAAATTTGGTCCATGTTTGTTTAATTCCTCTTGCCAAAGTATTTCCAATCTACACCATATATATATATATATTGTAAATACAATAGAAGAAAAATTACATATAATATGATGTTACCTATGTGCATTGTATTTAGAAGTTTCATAAGTAGAAATATGTGGTATATCTGTAATGTCAATACCCTTTTTATATGCTTTCCATACATATGATGTAATCCATGTGTAAAAAATATATGAAAATAACCCAGCATTATCTGCTGGCATACTTTCCTTATTTCTGAAAAATATATGAGAAAATATTACATAAAAAATATTTTATTAAAAAAATAAATTTATATTAATACATACTGATTTTTATGACGTATTGGTATAAGATTCCTTAAAGCTGGATTATATCGGTTCATATTGCTTGTTTTGATATATTCTACTGATACTTTTGGTGAGTGTGAATGTGAACTAGGAAGTAAAAAATGTTGTCCTTCACTAACATCATTGTATCTAAAAGAAATATTTAGAAAGTGTTAATCTTTTATCTAAATTCACCAAAAATAGAAAAAACTGTAATTTCATACATTTCACCATTAACGTATTGAGTTTCATTATTTTCGCTCTGGCCACTGGGAGCATCTGTTTTATTTTCCATAACTTTTCCTTAGTATTACAAGTTAACTATATTAAATTTAAATAATATAAACGTTAGAAATAAAATTTTAATAGAAACAAATATAAAGAATATAATAATAATAATAAAACATAGTCTTGTAAATTAGTTAATTGTATTCTAAATTGCTTAACAATTTGTGAAAGTAGAGATATTGGTACAACAGCTTACAAATTATTAGTAAGAAATTATTTTTATCAGTATGTTCTTATCAATGTCATTACCTATCTAGTAATTATGACAATTATGCACAAATGTACAATTATGCTTTCATTTTATAATAAAATTAAAAATTTTATATTTGTTTATATTCAG